TGAGGAATAAACTCAAATCTTCCATGGATACAGCATTGGGACATGAATGGGGCATGTAGCCAGACCAAGGAACTTAAAAACAATCTCGGATCTTGCTGCGTGAACATAACCAAGATGACCAGCATTTCTTTGCAAAGATTTGTAAGACTCTCACTGACACCACAGGCTGTGTGTGTCCACTGCAGCTTTTCAGCGTGCCTCTCCTGGGCTTGTAACATTAACATTCCTTTCAATCAGGGTCACAGAGAGGAGCTGATGACTCATAGCTCCTACAGGTATGGAGTAGTTAAAGAACTAATTATGTTGATAGGTTTGACAGGCCTAGAAACTTTAATAACATTTTAAAAGCAGACTTCCTGAAGTAAACAAGAAGCTGTTAACTAAAGGGAAATGGAAGAAGCAAAACATAATTGCCTATTGCTATGCCCCTTATTTCCTCCGTTGTAAGGCAGTAGTTCCTCCATATATACCTTAGTACTACAAAGCAATGACATCCGATGACAGTTGTGATTACCCAAAATTATGTTCACTGTCTTATCCTGATTTTCTGATGATTATAAACCAATAGTCTTATGTTGTGCACAGCTGGGGATATTCCCAAAGACAACACACAATTCCAATTGTCTTGGTGGAAAAAAATGTAGTAAAAATCTGTAATGATTCTCCACAAAGCAGTTGACACAGAGAGCATTAGGCTGGATACCAGAAAAGCCTGTCTTTTGTGGGATTCACTCTTTTACATATGGAAGCGTATGCTAGATCATTCTCCATTCTCTGAAGAATATGAGAACTCCATTGTGTCAGGTATCTAAATTCAGCTCCTTCTTTTATATGCAAGTGATGCTTCAGAAGAATCACCATAAGCCCAAAGCAGTTTTTTTAACAGAAAAAAGGTGGGGTTTTAATTCATTAAATTGATTGCCATGGTTTCAAATAAGTATTGCCATCTAACTTGGGCTTTAGACACACCGAAAGTGTCTAAGGAAATAAGAAAGCTATTTCTTTATTGGCACTCGTGTATTGTTAGCCAAACTGGTATCCATTTGTTGGAAAAGGAAAAGGTATATTTTCAAAAAAGAAGAAACTAGATAAAAAAGAATATAACATTTGCTCCTTAGAGCAAATTACATTTGCTTTCCTTTCTGATGGTAGTAATAGTCCTCAGGAAACAACATGAGCAAGAACGAATGGTTGTCCATCAAATTCAACTTGTATGAAGGAAAAAAAAAAATCTCTTTTTTTATTTAATCTACGAAGTAAATTCCTGTGATAAGACTAGACTATTTCAAGCAAAATTTCCCCCCTCCTGAGCTATGGCATCTGTAAGTTTCCTGTAATTTGTCCTTTCAGTTTTTCCAACATTCTCTGCCCTCAGCATTGTTTTGTAATAGCAGTGGCATGGTAGACCTTCCCAGGCATTAAAATTCAAATGAACATAGCAGCCATCCCACTTTGCTTCATGACTGTTGAATCCAGTTTTTGAGACTAGAGAAACATTAATTGAGAAGAGTCGTGTCTAAGTGTAGCCACTTGGGTAGCTGCGGTCAGGGTCTCTGTTTGTTGGCTTCTCCTAATATAAGCTGGCACACAGGAAGTTCTTCTAGAGAGGTGTTGCTAGATATAAGGTAGCAACAAAAAAGGTAAATCATGGGAGAGAAAAAGCTATCCAAGAAGTAGCCAGTGCCAGCTGGGGTTAAATGTGACCAAGGGGAAAACCAGATGCTCTATTTTGGGATTTGTGTAGTGTTCTCCCCTAAAAGAACTTTAAGAAATGTTCCTTGCCACTCTACCTCATGAAGAAAGGGAGTGGTAGAAACCACATTTGACTTCCTCTTGAAGTCAAAACTTTTTTTGTGTGTGGTAAGCAGCTGGGGCATCTCTTCAGAAGCTGTAAAGAATTTCCTTTTACAGCTAGGAAGTTGGGCAGAGTAGACTATATAAAGGAAATTTTTTTTTTTTTTTCCAGTCCTAGCCATAGATATAGCCTTGTGTTGTGGAATACAGAGTTTCAAGAGAAAGTAACTCAATTATTTCTATCTTCATTTCCACCCACAACTCCCAAGGAATAGTCAGAAGCTTTGACCTTGAATCTGAACCAGGAGTTCCACCTCAGCCAAAAGGTATTCTTTATATTTGGAGTCTCTAGTGAAATACAGAATGATGGAAGAAAAACCTTCCCTCACAGCTATTTCCTGTGCAAGTTAAAGGCAAACATTACCATTGATTATACTTTATATAAAGGAACAAGAGTATGAGAATAGAAGGCTTCAAATACAATTTAAATTGACAACCTTTTCACATAAAAGAAAAAATTTCACTGGATTTTTACTTCTGCAAATTATGTGGTACTCTTAAAAAGTTCCAAGAAATGGAGCAACATTTTTAACTTCCAATAATATGCTGCATTCTGTAGTACATTTGATATGAGGATCTCAAGTTGTTTTACCAATGTTACTACACTTACTTTTCTATAATTCTATGTTTTAGATTAAACACTAGCAAATAAGAGGGAGAAGGCTAAAACAGATTCAGTTGCTGCCTCATGAATCAGAAGTAGTCAGGTAGAGGACACACATTACTCAACATCCAAGAGCCACGTATCAACTTCATAAAATTCCTGTTGAATATTGCAATTGCAGTCTGATTACAACAGTGCGAGACTTTCCTAAGACAGGGTGGTCATTCATTCGAAAAACCTTCCACAGTCTTCCATACAAAACAAGGTAGACCTTTATGGTGTCAACAGTTACATTATTTTCAAGTGAAAACTCAGAATGTAAGAAAACAACAAAGAAAACTAGACTGAAAGTCTTTACTGACAGCAGATAAAACTCAAGATTCCAAGGGTAAAGATCTCCTTTAAAACTTCGGAAACCCATCCTGGTATTTTAAAGTCAGGATGATCTAGCTTAGGGAATGTAGAGATTTGAAACAGATTGTGCAACCTTAGAATAACTGAGATTGGAAACAGAGAAAGTTATTGCTGATGATTAGCATTTCACATGTCCTCCTACCTTGAGGAACACAAAAAGTCTGTCTAACAGTAAGTCTGATTGCTTGACAGTAACAGCCACTCTTGTGGTAAGCAAGTGTGATAGTTCTCTGAACAAGCAGCAAACATTTTGCCGGGAGAGGAATGACTGGGAAAATGCCTAAGATACATGCACAGTAAAAAAAAATTGCTATGCTGTTCTAAGGATGCAGTATATTGTTTCATTGTTTTCTGGTGCAGAAACAGGAGGGGGAGATTGAAATCTTCCTTTACATTCCTTCCAGCCACGAAGAGAAAGTAGTTGTAGGACTCTCAAATAGCCCCTTACGTGTAACTCAGCTGCTGATAAATGTAACAGATTTTGGTGTTCAAATAAATGCATAAAGAGTTGGTAGAAAAATGTAAATTCCTTTATCCATTATTCAAATAATCCATTATTTTTAATATTGTGTTTAGCACCAGAATACTAAGTTAAACAGCACCCTAGAGTACATGCTCATTAACAATAGCTAAAGTGTTAAACACAGAAAAGAAGGGTTCTTTAGTGAATTACTTTGCATATATGAAACTAAGGCTCCCATTTTCAAAGGTAAACTTTAATAGAAAGTGCCAAGAAGATAATGAAAATGTCTGCAGCTTCTATGTTGAGGAAATCAGGATTTTCTGTAAATTAAAGGTGCAAGAATCTGGATTTCCCTAATTTTATTTTTATTGCAAGCAAGGAGAAAAATATTGAAAGCAATAACTCCATGAATGAAATGAATAGGAATGGGGTGGGTAAGATCAGAAAAACAAAAGTGGTAGCTTTGAAGGCAAGAATTATTAGGATAAAATGAGGATTATAAAAGTAAAAAAAAAAAAAAAAGCTAGACCTCACAAAGAATATAAATATAAATAGAAAAAAAACCCTTCAGTTAATTTGTTATCTTTACAGCCTAACCACACCACATTTCCTCTTCTTAGTTATACTCTTGTTTGGAAAGTTAACTGAGGCCCTGAAGGAGAGGTAACTTTGGACAAGAACTTCAGACAAGCATGTATTATTATTAAAAGTAAACACTAGCTTCAGAGGCTCTAAAAGCACAAATTATTGCATGTTTTGAATAAATATATTAATGAATGAATTCAGAATGAATGTATTCCTAGCTAAAAGTTTCATTAACTTTATGTTATTTGAGTAGCAAATAGCTGAAAATTAGAAATAGATTTCTGTTATACACAAGTCATGTATTTCTTGATTTTGACAGTACTTGTAAGAAGGTACTAAGATAAAAGCGTTATTTTTCTAACTACTCCAGCTTTGCACAATCTAAAACACAGCAAAGGAAAAATATTGTGATGTTTAGTTCCAAAGTGTAGGTCTTGCTCCAAAAAGTTATTTGAGTACTAATATATCCACACTATTGCAGACTTAATTTTATCTGTTGTCTGTACTGGTGTTAATTTTTATTATCTCACCATGCATGAATTTTCCTTCACCTGTATTTAACTGACGAAGCATGTGGATACTTGGATGGGATAACTTTCTGCTTGCTGCCTTCCAGCTTTTCTTTTTTTCAAACCAGATGTTGAAGCTTAGTGTGTTTTTAATATGATCCAACGTGTACTTAAACTGTTTACGAGTAGTCTGACATAACAGGTACATGCAGTTCTACCTCATGAATATCTTGGGTCTATTATGTGCTTTCATTCATTTAATTTCAGTGGCAGGTCAGCAGAAAGCAGTAATATAGCAGGTGGAATAACAGCAGCTGAGAAGTGGTTAAAAACAATAACATGTCTGAAAAGAAAAATTTGTCAGAAACTCAGAGAGTCTTAATGCAGGCACAGCTTTATTCTTTACTGAGACTTCATGGTCACTGAAGACTTGGGCATCTCCAAGATAGAGGATACTAGTCATACTTGGCAGCCTGGTTTGATCATTTCTGAGCTCACTCAGAGCAGTTGCAAACTCCAATGGATTACATGGAAAAATCTAGCAGTTGAATGAAAGAAAGGGTTGACTTACTGAAGTAAAAGCCTCTGTCTCCACACACGAACTGAAGAGCATCAACCAGCTCAGCACCACAGAGTGTTTCTGGGCCAGCAGCAGCAGAACTGGTTAAGGTAAGCAAACACAGGCCAAGGTAGAAGAAATGAATGTAGGACACAGTGTGCATCTTCACCTGCCAAGGAAGCAAAAGCAGTGTCAGAATTTCCCAACAGAGTCCTAAAGAAAATGAGTCCTGTACCCTTGTGAGTTGAGAATGCATATGTACTGCAATTTGTTAGACAATAAACACAGTATCAGGAAGTGCCTCACCATAATTTTGCAACTGTCTGCATATTCTAGTCCATGTATTTTGTAAACTGATTACTTCCTCTGGTGAATATTCTTGGTTCACATTCACATGTAGTTAGAGAACCTTGTAGTAACTATGATTTATGGTTGCTCCTGCAAAAGGAGGATATGGAAGAGTGCAATAGACGGGCAAAGGGAAGCCCAGAATAATAAGAGTAAGGAAGACTAGACAACCTTGAATAGTTTTGTCTGAGACCAGATAGGCTGAGAGGGAATATGACAGTCCCCTGCCAATGTACTGTGGGAGATAGAGGTGGCATATGACAGAGAAGAGCTATTTAAATAAAAGAACAGCACTGGCACAAGAATAAATGGCTGCAGACTGGATGGAGGAAATTTAGCCCAGTAGGAAAAGGGTTCATAATTAGTACTCCATGGTTCTCTGGCCACCTTAAAAAGGGAAACACCAGGACAAAACAAAAGAAGTTTCAAGGTGGAGCTTGCCAAATTTACAGCAGAGTTGATGTGGGACCTTCCATAGTAGGGGACCGCATTCAATGACTCTTACAGTCCTCTGTTACTAGCAAATTAATATTTGGAAGCATTCAAGAAATTAAGAGGAGCACTAGCGGGAGTGTTAAGGATTTGTATTTTTACTTGATGGAAGCAGCTACACTTTCACTGACCTTCATTATATCCTCTTAGTCAGATTTGGCTATCAGGTGTATACAGAGGGGATAATTCTTTCCTCATTTACATTTGGTTACCAACTATCTTTTTCCTGGACTTAGGATTGAAGAAAGGCCAATCCTCAATGGGTGTAAATTTGCACCATTCCATTTATTCCTTTTGTATCAATTTATATCAACCAAAGATCTTACCCAACATGTCAAAGAAGATAGCATTTTTTTTTTTTAAATACTAGGAAAAGCTATTTATATATAGTAGCAGGACAATGAAGAATGTGCTTAATGCATATTGTGAACCGATTTAGATCACTTGCCAAAAACGCTAGTTTCAAAAGGTGTGAATCTGCATTTAATTTCATTCTCTTCCAAGGTTAACATTAGTATTGCAGTCAGGTAAGAAGTTACAAATCTTTCTTGCACATGCAGTTAACCTTTGCTTAAAACTGCTTTATATTAGCAGACTAGTGCAAAGTAATTGGAGTAAAATGATTAATCTTTCCTAAAGTTTGTTTCAGGATTTCAGGGACCATTTAATCTTATCTTTTCACTGAACTTTTGAAAAACCAATGAAATTATCTATTGTCTGCTCATATGGGACCTGATCCAGTGGGGTATTAAGCCTTCTCTAATCAATAATTTTTAAGAATTTTTATTTTCTTGGCAGGGGATTTTAGCAGCTTGCTGGATGAGTCCCCTATTTCAACTTAAGTTAAAGCTGAATAAGAGACAAATCTATAAATAAGTCAAAATTTATCCCCCTTTTTTTCCTGATATTTCCACTGTGAAAATAATGAACAAATCTAAATCCCATGATATATCATAAAAAGAAACAATAATTATTTTCCCATTCACAAGAGTCTTTAGCCAACTTTGCCATGCAAAAACCAATGAGCTTTAATGCATGGACATGACTTCAATGGCAGATGGAGAAAGATCAGATTATAAATGAATGATGATAACATGAGGCATTATTTCCTGCAATGATTCCATATATTAACAACATCAATTTCTTTTTTTCCTTGCCATATTTTTGAATTTCTAAGATAAATGTAATGCACCTGCAGTTTAAGATGGTTCCCAGTTCTGAGGAGGTAAAGCAGAAAGCTGTTCAGCACACCGCCTCAGAAGGCTGAAAGACATTACAAATACAAGAACATTATGTATTTAACAATTTGTTCTTGTATAACATTTGGGCCAGAAATAAACATAAATCTTAGACATGTAACAATTTTGTATTTTTCAAGACTTTTCAGCTGGGTTGCATTTTCAGATAAATATCAGCACTGAACTACAACAAAACAGATTATCCACTGTTTTTCCTTTAGTGGAAGCCAAAAAGGCTGCACAGTATAAACCACAGAGAATTTCTAACTTTATCTCCAAATTTAAAAACAGTCAAGAACTTTCAAACAAGTAAAAACTTTGGGGAAAAGAAAACAGACTCACATGTTTCTAGGGCTCAATCCATTATTTGTTAAATTAAGTGCTGTTTCATCAAAACTAATTCCAAAACATAGTTTCAAACTTTAACTTTACTTCATCATTTTAATTAAACATAACATTAGTTGATTCAATATGTTTGTGATAAAATCAAAGTTCCCATTTATGTCTGAGGGGGATATTCTTAAGAAAATACAAAGTTGTAATCCAATATTGCTTCAGGTTCTTTACAAACAGGCAGGGTGCTTGCAATGTCCCCACTTTGACTAGAAAGTTGAGAGTTTAAAAGAAAACGCATTGGCATGTGGGTGGGGTTTATTGAAGCATCTAATTACATTTGGAAATTGAATACAGGTTCAGGATGAGCCTGGTTAAGCACTTCTTTTAGTTGCATAGAATGACTGGCCATATTTTCACAGCTGGAATTTCCTCTTTTTTCAGTACAATAACCAGCTTTTGCTGCATTCCTCTTTTAATAGTCCAGAAGAGTGGCACCACAGAGGAATGTTGTATATGAACACTCCACATCTCTTTTACTTCTTAATACTTCTATATAAGTCCTCTTGGTCTAACAAACTATCAGCTGGCACAAGTTGTGCCTAAGAATTCTTCACATGCTTGGTCATTTTAATAACATATAAGAACATCTACAATAATTATAAATATCTTGAAGGGGACAACATTTTTATAGATAATATATGCTATAGAACAAAAATCAAGAGTTATGTTCAAAATTATATTTTGCTACATAGAGGTTGGACCTGATCACCAAGCCATAGTAGAGGTATGTAATTAATATGTAATAACAGTATTCACTAGAAATTATTATATAAATAAAGCGTATATAACCTAGAATGGATCCAGGTTTAAATACTGCTAACTTTGATTAAAGAATCTGGGCTACATCCTAACCTAAATCAATATGTTCCATTGATTCCAAGGAAGCTTGGCAGGATGCACCAGCTGAGGAACTAGCACATTACTTTTATGTCTCTTACTGCCTTGTTCAATACTTCAAAAAAATTATCTTCATCTTTCAAGAATGTTGGAAGGGATGCCCATTTATACATTAAGAGAATGGTTTCATCCATTGCAATTACAGACCTGCTCTTTTGAATCACATTAAGGAATGAGATAAGTGTGTTTTCAGTGTAAGACACTCTAAAAAAATAATTAGGCCCTAAACAATTCAAACAGGAGAATTCTGTCAACTGCCTAAGTGTCCTTGCAAAATATTAAAGAAAAAAAGTTCTTGAAGGATATAAATTTGCTGATAATGGAAAGTTGAACTAGGGCCAATTGACAGAAACAGAGGTCAATGCACCTACTGAAGCCAAATTTACTTAAAGACAGTTTATATTAATATGTAGAAATTATAGGGTCATAACATGAAACTTCACATGCAAACTTTCCTGAAACAGCCCTCCCTACAAGGGGAAACTTGGAGATGAACATGTAGGGGAATTTCCATTTTCTTTATGTACAATTGCTTAAGCTATACAAATATGCAATGTCAGCAAGAGTCGCAGCTGGTTTCTAATGTAGAAAACAAACTGAACTTCACATTTACTTTTAATTTATGAAAGCAAAAAACAAGTATATGCTACAATGCTGCCAGAAAATTGCTGCAGTGACAACATCCCTTAAAAGTTTCCCTGTGAAAGCATGAACATTTTATCTATAATTGTGTATAATAAAACTGCAGAAACTTAACATGTGAATAGTACCTTTTTTCCTATAAAACCCTGCACCTGCAGAAAATAGCTAAAAGTTCTTGTTTTCAGAAGCATTAATTAACAATATAGACAATGATGTAATTGGACCCCTTAATAATGACATAACTGAAATACTGTAAAGTTCTCTGAATAGAAGTGAAATTTAAGACATGTATCTGCAATAGTTTACCCTCACAGTTATCTATGTAATTGCAACTATTACATACAGCCATTTTCCAGATCACATAAAATTGCATGTTCAGCAATTCATAAATAATTCTCCGATCTAAAATAATGTTATTGAAAAGTGCACAATACTCTTCAAACCAGAAGCAGACAATACACAGTAAAATAAAACTAAAAAATTATTTGAAATAGTAATAAAGATTTACCTTCAAGAAATCACAAAAGCAGCACTTAACTAATTGTGTTGAAAGACTGTTGATTTTTTCCATTGCTTCTTAAAAGTGCAAAGTCTGGAAATAAATTTGTTAGCAGTAATGATGAGAAAAAAGAAATCCAGAGAGATGTGAGATGTTGAGAGCAATGTCACATTTCAATATTGAGGACTTTATTCCATTGCGCAGGCTCTATCTGCTCTGATTTTAGCAGTGACAGTGAGATTTAGCAAACAGAAGAGGGATTTAGAGAAAATCCTCACATTTATCTACATTACACAGACACTGTAGACAGGAAACAGCTGGGGGAGCATTTGCCTTCTCTCTCTCTCCCTCTTCTGGCAAAGTTACCGAGTAAGGACTTTTTTGGGCATGGTGACAAATAACATCATACCTTTGCATTTTAAAACTAGAGCACAGAAGCATATTTTTTTCCCTTTAAAAGAATGTGAATTAGTGACTGAGGGGTTAGCAGACAAAAAAGCTTGTGCTGCCATGAAAAATAAGAAAATGTATTCTGGTTAACTTTCAGATGGCTATGTGTGCATTTATATTTATGTGTGTGTGTCTGCATTTCAAATATATAAAAACTTATATATGTAGGGGCATTGTTTGTATATATGCATACCTTTGTATATATGTACACATTTTATTTATGCATAGAGGCACAGTTATTTTACTTATGTAGTATAGAAAGACAGGCAGTCGGTTATCTACTTTTTTCTTAATGCGTCTTTACGTTATTAAACTTGGCACGCCTATATGCTGAGTAACAATTAAAACCTCCAACTCTCTGTGCTATTAACCCTAAAATAGCAGTTTGTAATTTGCTAAAAATAGCAGAATTATTGAGCACTACTTGTAAATAGGGCAAAATAGCTCTGTGATCTTTTAGCAACCACACAGGAGAAGTCGTATCATTTCCTCGAATTTACAGTATTACGAATATAGTAACACAAGTAGCCCAGTTTGAGGGGCTTCCATGGCATTTATCTTAAATGTGCTGTTGTAATTATACAGTGATTTTCCCCCTTTTTAGTAGTAATCTTCATAATTACTCTTGATACAATTTAAATGACACTAGGAAAGAGAGAATTCAACTTTGTTAGTTCTGCAATACCTAACTTTTGCCTTTTTATTTTTCCTCAATTATGAGTATATTATAAATAACACCAGCTGGCCAGCAACATGCTCTCACGGGTTATGATGTCATTCAAATCCCTCAACTCTGTTAGTGGCTTGCAATGTGCTCCAAGCCAGCTGTTTTTCTATTTATAATGTATGCTTGCATTTCAATACTTAGCTATCGAGAATAAAGTTGTGATGCTGTTTTACAGATACAATTTGTACTTGTTACCCTTCGGTTTTGGAAGATGGCATTTAGAAGTAGAGAATTAAACAAGACTGCAGCTCCAGAGACCAAATACATGTCACAAACAGTGCATGATTTTTACAAAAGCTGTTTCAGAACATTGCATTTTGTCCCTGTCCCCCTCCACTCAAGTGAGAGTTGCATGCTGAGGTGCTAGCTATACTTCATTATTGAAAATAACAATTGAGATCATGTTGGCCCAGGTCCATTCTCAGTTTTCAGATCCACCTTGAACTATATGGTGCTTGCCAGGCAGAAAGGACACATTTAGTTATTTGTATGCTCTATGAATGGCTAATACTCTGCTCTGTGCAGTTTTAAACAGTGTATGGTTAGCTAAGCTGATTAATGTTTGGAAGGGTTTTCTTCTAATGTAGCATAATGGCAGAATCACGGAGGGCTTTGAGGTAAGTTTGTTTAGTTCAAGTAATACCAACATTTCAAGTATTCTAATACACATTTGTACTGGAGGTACTGTATTTTCATGTCCTGGTCTGTTTTATGCTTCCCTCTGCATTTCAGCATTGAATTGTGGCACCGTTCTACACATAGCTTGATGTAGCCTGCTGCGACTCGTAGCACATATATCACTTATTTCACCAGCCTAATAGAAGAATGTGGGAAGAAAAATTATCAAAGCTCTGGTATTCTTTATTTTTGACTTTTACAGTACTACAGATGGGTGCACATACTTCTGCCTTTTTCTTCCTAAATGACAGAAGGAATCCATTCATTCATCACTTCCTCACTGCCTGAGCTTCAAACCCTCTTTTCGCTCCTCACTGCTTGCTTTCTCCTAGGTTTCACCAGGCCTCTCTTGGTCATGAGAGCAGCATGCAGTAGAAGATGCAACTTTTGGCTTTCAGGGTAGCCAGAGAATCGTGGTCTCTAACCTAACTGCTAATCTTGTTTCTTTCCATGGAGCCATTCTGAACTCCTATCCCCATTCCACCCGAACAGTCTAGGTTTCTGAGGCACTTCACTTCTTTCTTTTAGTTCTTGCTTTGAAGTGGTATTGTGAAAAGGCAGGAAAACGGAATAGATTCAAGAGAGGGTTTTGATAGTAGTTTTTAGACTTACTGTTAGTGCAGTGCTTTTCCTCCCTAACAAGTAATGCCATTTTTTTCCAGAAAATTAAACATTCCTCAGGACACATTGATCTGGGGATCAGTACTTTTCTAAAATATAGCTTCTATTCTGGTGATAATATTCTAATCAGTATAGCAGTCTTTTAAATAATGGAGATTTGGTTATTTCTCCCTTATTAAATATAATAGCTTTTACTTTATAAACCATTTAGAATAAAGTACTGTATGATTGCTACTTTACGATTGAGTGTTTATGCAGTTACATACATTCCCTTGAATAAAATGCACCTGTAAACTACAGAGTGTATGGTAGTCATCAAAACACTCACAAAAGATGTCCAGCTCAGAAAAAATTATTTAACTGGAATGTGTGTAGCTATTCTACATTAAAAGGCAATAGCATATATAGCTTTGTTTGGCTTCTTAAGTATAACCTGCAGTGATATAATAGCCACAAAGATATATGAAATGTGTGAGATAGATAATCAGATATTTAGGAATTTATGTGTTCTGCTCCTCATTTTTTGCACTTTAATAATCCTGTGATATCACTAACATGCTGTAATGCTGTAGAGCTCATGTGTCAGTTTTTCCAGGGAGAACTCCATTTTGTAGAAGACAGCAAAACTACAAATAATCAATTGTCCTAATTAAGATATTATCCCTCCTTAAATCCTTCCTTAAAAGGTAGGAACATTGCCACAATGCCTGAAAAAAATCTGAACAATAGTAAGGTAACCGGTATGCCATCCTCTTGCATTCTTCTATATTGGATCACTGTACCTATCTGCAATTATTTGTTAATCTGTAACTTTTCTTACTTTGGGATTATAAATTTTCTGGAACCAAGATAGACCCACTATAATAGATATCACCTGAGAGGGCTGAGGGCGTGGTGGAAGACAGGATGGAAGAAGACAATAAACATAGTGGCTGGTGAACAGTTGTTCTTCATTACATGAAAACAGCAGAGAAAAGATTGTCTCTTATTATGTTGTTTTAAGGACATTCATCCTGCACAGAACATCATACACAGATGCCATAAGATTCATACACTGTGAAAAGATGATTGAGCTATATTGAATGCGATGGGTAATGTGTCCCCTGTCCTCTCCGTCTCCCACCGAAGGCAGAAGAGCCTTTTTGAAGGAACGATGTCTTATCAGCCTTCCCTTAGCTTACTGACTGGTTACTGAATTCAGTTCACTGGGCCAATGTGAACTGTATTTTTTGTGTCTTTTTTTTTTCTTTTAAGGTCCCAATCATGACATTAGACATTAAAGACATTATTAATTTGCCTAAATCTAAGCATCTAGTGTCATTTTTAGTGCTGCGGGATATCCTGCGTGCCCCCAGCTTCCACTACAGAGTGATACTTATTTCCCATCAGTCTCTGCGTCCTCTCTGCTGACCTCATATAGATTTCTTGCATACTTTAGGGCATCTCAAATGTCCTTCAGCATCTGCAGGTAACTGAACCCCACCAGAAGGCCTTCTTTTGGCACGCTGATCTGGGATTCTTGTAAGTGCAGCCTTTGGCCTGAGTATTACCTTAAGCTTCTTCATAAATAGAGATACTCTGTCTTCTGTCATTTACTATTTTTGTGATCCATTTGCGAAGAGGTTTTAAAGTGGAGAACACAACGATTTTCATTGAATTTCAGCACGATCTGAGTGTATATTTTCCTTATTCTCCTTTGCTTAGCCTCCAGCTTAAGCTCTTTTGGTTTGGAGCTGTCTCTTTTTATTTGTTTCATAAATCACCTTGCTTACTTTTGGATAAGATAAAATGTTATTTACAATGTTAGTATTATTTCCTGAAACACACAAATGATTGTTTAACTCTTATAGTCTCTAGTGAATTATTTGTAAAATATTATGTGTTTACTATTGGAGAAGTTTGGCTTTCTTTTCTAGGAAGCAACTTTGGAGAAAGGGGTGAAAGGCAGTATTTTATTAATATGCAATATTGTTTTGAAGTTAGTGATAAGTCAAGTATATGGTGGAAAATTCCTTTCATCAAGTTAAAAGTTAGGAAATCAAAGAAGAAATAATTTTACTAATTCATTTGAGCTAATGAACTGTTTTAAAAAAACCCCAAACACCTTTTCTCATGGTGGCCTAAGTAGCATCATCACTACACGAAAAACAAGTAACAAGTTTGATGGGGAGGATGAGGGCATGCAATCTGAGCTGTCATTACACGGGCAATATTGAAGAGACTCCAAGGAGAGAGCTGTGCCATGAAAAGCAGTTTCTCACTTGGGCAAAACAGGGAAAGTGCAAGTTTCGTGATTAAATGAGGATCAAGTAAATTGAAAACATTCATATTCGCTGATCAAGAAAAACAAGAGTGTTTCAAGAGCAGGATGGATGAGTGAGAACATCAGTCCAGAATTACTGCTTATAGGTAGTAGTGGTAGAAACAATTGAGTTAATAACAGCTCAGAATGAATCCATGGACTTGTAAACTGAAAGTACTGAGTACTTCACATTGTGTGGAGTAAGAATAATAGCTTTGCTAAGATCACAAGAAGGCAAGGACTTTATTCTTGCAAGTAGGATGCAGAGAAAGTATGTGGTTAGAATGCTGTGATGAATAAAATGAAGTACTGTATAATTTTAATTTATGGTATAAGTTAAAGTAGCTACAGTTTTGAATATCCTTGTATTAGTATGTTTTTTTCCCTAGGTTCTAGAAACAATTGCTGCTAAAAATAATACAAAGCCAAATACTGATCTTATTTTCCTGCTCAAATGAAATATACATCAATTATTGGATATATTGTTTTCACAATTTAAATACATAAATTTTTTTAAAATTATAACATATTACGGAAATT